CACATATACAGTATATAATATTTTTTGGAGTGCTGGTTATCTCATTTTGTGATTCCTCAGAACCAGGCACCCATTTACTCTTTCTCCATTTTTGTAATGGAGTTGTGTGAACTACTTTATTCTTAGGGATCTCTGTACAAAACAAWTATGTCTGCAACAAAAACAGCATTTTAACAAGTTCATGTCAAATAATCAGTCCAGCACAAAAAAAACAAAAAACAAAAAATAAAAAAACAAATTTAGGGTAACTTATAGATATATATAGAATACAGTATACTGCATATAGAATACAGTAACATTAACATGAATGGATAACACAATAAAGCATAAAGCTTATTTCAACTGTGGTCCAACCAAACCAAATCAAACCAGGACTCCTTTGAAAAAGCTGTTTTTATTCTCTATAGGATTTTTCCAGGTAAAATAAAGGTTTAATAAAAATTTTAAAAAATAAATCCATTTATGGTAGCAGTGTGTTGATTTAACCTCTGACACACACGTCTCAGATTGCTGTAATATTTTTACAGCTGTGTCAGTTTTAGTAAAACACAAAAAGATTTGGCTTCCTCCAAGATCTCACATGTTATTGGCTTTAAATGCTCAAAATACTCATTATCTGTGGCTCTTCATAAGGAGCTGAAAAGGGTGCGACATTCCTCTAAATTAGCATCAGATAATCTGCCACTGATGATCTTTAGAAGAGAGCAGGGGTCCTCAGTAATCTGCACTCAGCAGGATTACTTCAACCTGGCTGGACTCTGCTGATCCTTCCCAGCCTGGCGTTGTGTTTGTGAAACTGAATAAACCCAGACGCTCTAACAAGGCTTGGTCAAACCCATCTTATGCTGGATTAGTCATCTTGGAAGGTAATAAGATAAAGTGTCTCATCTGTTTGAGGCTGATGAACATATTTCTGTCTGACTCACGGTTGAGGCCGATGTCGTGATAGGTGAGGATGACAGGTCTGTTGCCCTTGGGAACGCCTCTCATCGTCACATGGAGAACGCCGTGTGGCGTCTCGATGTCGTGCTCCTGCAGGCAGGAAGAAGAAAAGTCGTTTAGGAGCAGAGAAACCAAACCAGAGGCATGTGAAGAGAGGGAGGAGACAGCAGCAAACAAACGCTCCTCGTGTTTAAATCACAGTAAACGGAGACAACATTTAAGTCTGGTTGATGAAATATGTCATTTAAATTATGTAAAAACTTCAACTTAATTCTTGACGACTGTAAAACTCTAAATCCCTTTTGTTTGTTTTGATGTGGCTTTTTGAAGTTTGGTCCTCGATGCTGATTTTATTAWATTTTTCTAAACCTCAGGTTATTTTTCACTAAAATAAAGTTAAAGACTCACATGGATAATTACAACCAGACAGCTGGTTTAGRATGTTTTTGCAGTACAATTTATAACCAAAAATCACTTTTTCACASCAGAATTTCAGTTTTAAAATTTGTACATTATTGTTATGATTRAATGCAAAACAAAGTTCTGTCAAGAAATAAAATAAAACCTGGTTAAATAAAAAAACACTTCTTATAGCTTTTATTTATAGTTTTGTGTAAAGTAGTACTGACTAGATGATATTTTGTTACTAGCTGATACTTCCTTTCAGTAACATCTTAAAATGTACAACTGTGACATTTCTTACATTTAAAACATCTGACAAAAAATTCTTCTGCAAATTTCAGTTTTTATAACAAACAGAAATATTATATTATAGGTTTATGATTTAGTTTACAGTAAATAAATAGTAACTTTTGAAAGAAAAGACAAATGAACCACAAACACAATGATGGTTCCATTAGTCTTATTTCTAAATATGTTGTTGTTTTTTTACTACTTATTACTTTGGATCATTTAGACTTGAACACATAACTTTTAAATATGGTAAAGAAGAAWCAAATAAATAAAAATAATCTGATCTGATAACCTTCAGAGACACGTTTGACTGGGACACAAAGATTATTTAGATAAGATTGTTTTATTTAAGGGCTGAACATGAGTGAGTTTTAAGGTTTYAAGGTAGTTTAGGCTTGGGAAAATTTTTATTATTTTTTTTTTAACAAAATCTAGGCCACTACTACATCTTCCATCTACAGTACCTGATAACTGATTATACAGGCATAGCTGATTGTAGATTTTTTTAAAAAGTGGCCAACACCAGCTGATTAATGGGCTTATTATCTCCATATTATTAAACACTCACTATCAATTCATTTTATAGATATTGTATCAAAAACAAATGACTTTCCAATGCAAAACTACTGACAATATTTAGAAAGAACAGAAAAAAAATCTTCATAAATTATTTTAGGGGGCAAAAAAAACATGACTAAAAACTGAGGAAACCTGCAGCAGCCTATAAATATTACATCACCACGACCCAAAAGCTGCACCAGATCCTGATGAACTGGAAACATTTTGAGATTATTACTTTTAGAATATCTTTATCAGGAACAGTCAGGCTTGAGTGAGGTAAAAACAAAAGACTTTGAAGAGTGTTAGAATGTACCGTTGATATTTTTCCTTTATCAGTCCCATAATTATTACATTGTGTCAGTCTTCTCTCTTTAACTGAAAATATTTCATTATGTGGTTTCAGATAAACCACCCAAACACCAACCTTTCAGCAGAGGTTTGTGTGTGAAACATGCACCGCTTGTGTCCCGCRCCTTCAAAGAAACAAAAGCATCGAACTCTTGAAAAATGTGCAAAAAGGCCCGATTGTTCAAAATTCTGAAACTGCTTTCGAGTGCGACTCTGCAAGAACGCCAGCATCGTTTGTTTTAGCTGAATGTGTTTGCAAAAAAACAACCCATTAACATTCAAACGGAGCACACCAGCGCTCTGCTCTCCATCMCATTATTATTTGTCCCTCCACACAAAAGTCCCACTTTAGTACAACTCAAACAGTGCTGCTGCAATGGAAACAGTTTTACAGTGTAGCCAAACTTACTGTTCATGGAAATGAGAAAAAATGTTTGGAAGGAACTAAATAACTAAATAACTAAATAACTAAATAAATAAATAAAGTGATGAACTGAACAAAAAAGTGAAGTTTCCAGACCTCTCACACAATCCTCCTTTAATAAATGCAGGTATGTTGTTGTACATCAGTGAGCGAGTGCGGGTGGGGCCCTCAGTGTGCCTCCTCTCAGGCCCACAGGTCATCAATAATAAAGAGAATAAGCCCACGCAGATGACAGGCTCATGTTAGAAAAGACAGTCAGATTTTGATGGTACACTTCTGTTTCCTGCTGTTTCATGTGACGAACATGTGACATGAAAGCTAAGTTTCATGGCTGCAGGAATTATTTGTATGTGCTGTCTGTAATGGACACAGAAACATGAGAGGAAAACTGCTCACTGTGACGGAAACAGGATAAAACATTTTCATCAGAATGGGAGTCGGAGACTGATGAGCGGGTCACAACCAGGAGAAGTGTCCATCACGAGATAACTGCTACTGGATATGAGTTTTCTTTCTGAGATTAAATAAACCTCTAAGAGCCGTGTCCTCACACAGAGCTCCTTCACAAACAATAAAAACTAGTGGGGTGAAACAAAAAACAACCTGTTACATAGGTCCAGAGGAAAACTCTCGGTTCCCGCGTCGCTGCAGAATTTTCATTTTCAGACAAGGACAGAGTCAAGGACACTCCACAAAAACAAGATGTAAACACTTTGCCCAAAACGCCCGCCTGCGGTCATGTGTGTGACACTGTGTTGTGTTGTGTGAAAGGCAGGGGCCACGCGCCCCGGCTGTGACATGAAATGAAAACATTCCGTGGAGGAAACAGAACTGAGATGTGATGAAGAGATAGAGCGAACGAGAAGAATCGGAGCGTGAGGGCAGTGGCAGAGAAAAGACAGGAGATGGACGGAGGAGTGTGTCTAAAAAAAGGACATTTCATTTCTCAAACTCTCAATGGGCAGAAAGAAAAGGGATAATGAGGGGGGTAGAGTTGCAGCTCTCGTCATGTTTGTGGACAAACACACACAGATTCGAGGCGTGAGATGAAAACACACATGGGGTCAGGCAGCTAGTCAAAACAGAAAACAGGCAGAAGGAGGGCAGTGCACTGGCATCAATCCTTTCTCCTTTTGAAACATTCAGAATCATGAGAAGGGCAAAAAAAGTGTTGAGTCTATTTAAATATAAAACTGAGGATGTTTCCTGGTGCAGAGAAACGAGGAAAACACAATGTCAACTTATTCCTGCAGTCATACCAACACCGCCTTAATGTTTTCTCTGCCCTGCAATGATCATGATGCAGAAGCAGGACGCAGCCTGTGAATGACTTGCACAAAACATCAGTGTCTCGTCTCTGAAAATAACATCCATTCGTCCTGCAGCGCACGCACTACCTGTGTGCCGTACAAGCAGTGGGCTGAAACTATAACCTCAAGGTCTCTGCAGGGAGAAACAGCCACTTCAGTGCTTTCTGCWTTGTGGCTACAGCATGCACTGGGGGGTGAGTGACCTGCCTCCCCTGCCTGTTTACACTGGTGGCTGAATAAAAAAGGACACAGCACAGGGATGCACGGTTTACTGCTCAATACAGACAGTTATGCCCTGAGACGCACGGCAACAACACAACTTCTAATGCATCTTTCATCAACATGCACCACCACACCCCTGAGCAAGTTCAGGCTGTGCAGACATCACATATGGGCACCGTGTGACCTGTGGGTGCACACGCGAAACAACCCATCACCTCTTCCCAGCAGAGGCTCAGAGAGGAGAGGAAACCTCCCAGCAAGAAAGCAAGAAAACGATCCCGGCGGCTACTAACAGAAAACTGCACATTAACGACCCTGATCTGAACMAGAACCTTCTTGCTGCAGAGACCACAGCCAGGTGTGTGGAGTCGGACCCGTCTGTCACTCACCACTTCATTCCCAGTGAATGAAATCTGCTCCAGGTCCAGAACAGTTGACATGTTTTAGCCACACGGCAGAGGAAGTGTGTTATGCTATGTGCAGGCGTACGCCGGGCAGCTCTGAAGCTCTCCAACAGCAGGAGGAAGGAGGGAGGGAGGGAGGGAGGGGAGCTTTAGTTGGAAGGGAGGGATGTAGGGTGAGGCAGGCAGAGCAGCAATGGCAGCGACAACAGAGGAGGAGAGGGACAGAGCAGAGGGAGGAAGGAGGAGACGGAGGAAACAAGTTGAATGTAAGGAGAAGGGGCTAGGAGGGAGAGTGGAGAAGATGCAGAAGGAGGTACAGAGACAGACAGCAGGAGCAGAGGAGGAGGAGTGAGACTGCAGTTTGTGCTTGGTAGTCACGGTGCGTTCGTGCATTCAGCCACTGGTGCATCTAATTGGATTGCAGAGGGTCAGGTGGGCAGTGGGGGAGGGAGGGGCTTCAAGGAGAGCAGTGAGGAGGAGGAGGGATTGGCTGAGTGGAAAGCGGGTGACCGGGTGCAGAGGATGCAAAAGCAGTCCAGGAAAATGGGCAGTCTGCTGACGTCACTTTGTTATTGATGATGAGGAGGAGGCTGACATTGACAGCTCATCCTGGGCTGTTTCTGCATCAGCAAAATGGCTGCAAGGTTTACCCAATATCATCGACAGAGTCTGMTTTCTGATGGCAAGAAAGGGAATAATCTCAACTCCTGAATAAAAAATATGTCTTTGTGAAAGGACACAATCTGGGAGAGYGAGGTGAGAGTGAGGTCCCAAGGAYGACTAGATTTAAAAACAGTTTTGTAGCAAAAACACAGTCATTCTACAAAAAACTTAATTATTCCCTCCAGTTCAAAAGACTCTGCTCATGTTCCAGGCTGATTAGAAAAACACAAGAGACGGCTCATTTTATTTTCACATAATCAGATTTTATAAACCATAAATTTTCTGCTGAAGTCATCTGATCCACATCATTTTTCCACCCTCCTCTGCTAGCTGCTAGCAGGGCAGGGCATCAAGACTCCGTCTGTGACAGGYAGCTCTGATCAGCCAATGGCACGGCAGCAAAGTCGCTGGGATTTAAAGGACAAGGAGGGCTTTCATTGGTTGATCAGTGTTATCCGCATGTTTGGCTGTAGTCAGCTGTTTTTTACACTTCCTGACCCACAGAGGGTGCCAGTGATACATAAACGTGAACTTAATGAAGAAATACAGATGATAAGAGAACTGTGTAATTTTAAACATTATGATGCATCAGGGAAAATTATTCTTGATGTCTACACTGCTCATCTTTTTTTTTGCAGCTCTGTAAGAACAGGAACTGTACAAACTCTGCATAAATAATAAACGTCATTACCAAGAGTTATTTCATTAAGGTTTTTCTGTGTCCTACAGGGAAATCATGGATCAACCGTAATGGATTTGGTGTTAATTTTAGCMCAAGAACCTCTTTAAAACATATTCCTGCACTTTAAATTGTACTTTRTAAGAACCTGACATGAGATGCCTTTATTGACATATGTTGACTGCAGGATGTTTTTATGATGCCCAGTGAAAACATGAAGTCAACAGTAAAAGGTGATGAATCATACAGTATAAAGTCACTCTGGTCCTGTCATGGATTAGATGGCCTTATGGCACCCTCTGCTGGACRCTTCTGCAGGTTTAAAAAATGAAAATGGTTGAACAGATGCCTGACTAGTGGTAGTTACACAATAATGTTAAAAAGTCTTTCAAAAGGTCAAAGCTAAGCTAAAAGTAATACAWTTAAAATTAGATGTAAAATACGCTTTATTTTTTGTTTTAAACAGATAAACACAAAAAACATGTCATAGGGATATTTTCTAAATTTAAAAAGCGCACAGTCAGCTRTTTGTCTTGTCTTTGTATTGTCCACAGAATAACTCTGTGTTCTGAAGTTTGTATTTTAAACCAGAGTCAATGTCATGAGACCAGAAAGTCTGACTCACATGTCCTGTGTCTCACAGCTGAAGGACATTTTACAGGAAGTATCATTTCCAACAGGGGTCACCCCTGCACCACTTTTACTAAAGTAGAGTCTCTGTCTGTCAGGACGTGGTTTTCTTAGCAAGATGGACTTGTTTTTTTTAATTCTGAATCTTTCAGATACACAAAAAAAGATCAGAAGCAAAACATCTTTAAGATAAAAGGGCTAGCTTGAAGGAATGTATGTTAGCCATCACCTTTCATATCAGAGTTTTAGATTGTCTTGTGTTGTGAAATGACAGGCTGGCAGCTGTTTTGGTCACACAGTGTTGTGAGTGACTCTCGGCTACYAACATGWCAAATTTTAGCTCAATATCTGCAAAAAATGACCAACCCATAGCCATTTATGTGTTGGTTAATGTCAATTAACTACCTCCAATTAGATCAGATCCAAAAGTTAATCAKTTGTAGATGTACGTTCAATAAYATTTTCAGAAGGTTTGTTGAAATTTTGCTTACATAACAGATAAAGGAAAACACAGGCAAAAACATTATAATCCTTCTGTCTTCAGTGACAGGCGATGACTAAAAAGAAGTTCATTAACTTTTGATTTAACTTGCTCGGAGCGGTGTATTGACCAGCCTGCTGCAGTACCAGTGGGCTGCCTGTAGGGGGAGCTTTAGAAGCAGTAAAATCGTACAGCTGCTGGAAAGTCACAGCTCACCATGATGGTGCAGAGGGACAGTGATGCTCTGTACCTCAGTGGACTGCTTTAAAAAAAATCAATTTACACATCTTAACTTGTGTCAAACAAGTCTGCAGAAGCAGTAATTTACATTTTGATGTTAAGCTCTTTAGCTTAAAAAAAACATGCTGCTAGAATGAAGGCCACACTGATGCTAACTGCTAAAACATCTGGAAAATCTGCTTGCGGATGAGAAGATGGATTTGTTTGAGAAAYGTTTTATTTTCATTCTACTGTGTGCTGCTGATATTATCCCAACGTTCTCCAGCATTTAAGTAGGTTAAATTCTCACCTTGCTGCTGTGGTGTTAAAAATAAATGCAGCTAATTCAAAGAATCACGGGATAGATCTTAATATTTTTGTGACTTCTATGATAAYGATTATTTGAGTTTAAAAATTACCCCAAGGAAAAGGGTAAAATACACATTTACACCACTGATAATTCAGGCCAATTAAAAATATATATACAGTATATTCAGAAGTGAGCACCAAAAGGATGACTGGAAAAAATGAGCACGATGAGTAAAAGAGCAGCGGAGCGAGCAGGAGGTCGTATGAATGTGAATGTATTTATTAATAACAAAGCAGACAGAAGTGAGTAGCGGGGAGCATCTGTTTCAGCTAACATGGTGACTCCGTTTGGCTGCCYGCAGCAGCTATATTTAGCTCTGGTGAGATGCTGGAAGAAGGCGTGGCTGCAGATAGTGAAACAGAGGAATGATTTTACCCTCTGCAGTTGTGAGCCTCATTAAAACACAGCAGACAGAAACAAACCTGGAACTTTGCCCATTCAAGCCCAACAAGGCTTTTTACTAATTACTAATTACTTTTATATTAGATTCAGTTCATGTCAGATTGATGTCGGCAAATATCCAGCTTTTTAATCCCGGACTAAATCTACCGTATAATTCCATCGTGTCAACATTCAAGATTAAAGTCAGGCAATTACGCCCCATCCGCTGATTTGACTGGAAGTTGTAACTGAAGGATTTACAAAGAAATGTCAGACAATTCTGCTCCAACTGGTCTTAAAGAGGCAGTTCCACCATTTTGTAGTTATTTTCTCTGGAAAAGTTAGAAATAGTAAATATCTTCCCTGTTGAAGATAGGTTTTAGTGTTCAAGTCTGACTGGTTTGATGAACTAATGGTTAGTCTGAATGTGGCTAAAAAGTAGATTTGGTAAATAAAATTTCATAAAAAAATTTAAAAATCACTGTCATTTTACATGACAATTATTTCCATAAAACTCTTTGGTTATTTGTGAGTCCAACAGGTAACAGCAGTGGTGAGATGTTGCACAT